TGGAGCATCTTATGAAAAGTGGACCATCCCCTTCAAGAAAACCATATGTGATTGTCTTGGTTCATGGAGCATTATCATATGAAGTGAAGAAGGAAAATATCAAAAGCTTTAAAGGACCATCATGGTCCAACTAAAAGCATCTTGGAGCAACGTCATGCTCTTGGACCAACATGGAACAATTGCGGGTACATGGACCAAATTTGGAGCAACTACATTCAACTTGGAGCATCTTAGATTCTTTTGGAGCAACTTCATTAACTTAGACCAACTAGAATTAATTTGGAGAAACTTCACCAAGTTGATATCTTGTAACATCTTCATCCAATTTGGAGCAACTACATGCTCTTAGACTATCTTGGACCATCTCGACTTCTTTGGACCAACTGGATGAATGAATGAAGCATTATCATTCATCTTGAGGCATCTTGGACCATCTTCATCAACTTTATCACATGGATCATCATGGACCATCTCTACCACCTTGGATCAACAGGAACTCACTTGGACAATCTTGGCGTATCTTCAGCCACTTGGAGAATGTTCAATCACTTAGAGCATGTCCAAGCACTTAAAGCACGTTCAAGAACTTGGATCATCTTCAATCCTACTTGGTACATCACGTTCATATGGATAAGCATCATAAATGCACCATGAACGTTTCATGTAGGCCATACATGTTTCAAGTAGGTCATGCGCGTCTCAAGTAGGTCATGCACATCTCGAGTGGGTTATGAACATTCCATAGGTGCCATGCAGGTCTCAAAAATAACTTCCATGCATGTGCCACCTTTTCTTTCTTGATTCTCAAGTCATCATTCTCTCACTCACGACTTGAGTGGACATCCTCTTATTTATACTTGAGTGACATCCAAATCTTATGGGCCCACAATTTGGCCCATGCAAGCCCTAACTCGGCCCATTACGAAACCCTAGCATCCTTCACCTATAAATACCTCACTTCTACTTCTTATTCTTGCTTTCTCACTTTATCAAAAAATTCTTCTCTCATACTCGTTTGGAGCACAACGATTTTTTTTTGGAGAAAAATTGAAATTTTCTTGAGTTTAGAGCAAGAACACTTAGTGAGCAAAAGACTTTGGATCACTTCGGCCTCCCACCAGCTTTGTTGCAACATGACACTTCAGAGCAGCCTTGGTGCAACAAGCCACTTCGGTCCAACCTTTGATGCAACAAGAACTTCGGCCTCGGCTCAACCTCTTCTTTTGTGTAACACCCTCTGTGAGAGACTCCCCTTCACAGCTTCTTGGCTCAAAAGGCTTCAACCTTCGATTGGGGCAACAAGCTCCTTGGCACAATTGAGGCCTCACACTTCACCTTAGCGCAACAACCACTTTCGGTCTCACCTTCTTCTTTGGCAACTTCCTCTTGCTCCATCCCCTTTGTATCCCTTTTGCACCATTTAATCTTCTCTTCTCTCTTTAACCTCACCATCCTCTTCGCTTCGGTATCCAATCCCCCCTCGCAAATCCTCTTGGTGAATTTCCTTTCCCTCGCACATCAGCTCTTAGAGCAACTTCGCATACCTCTTGGCGTACTTGCGCATATCAACAAAACCCTTTTACAAAATCTTTTTCCTTCTCTTGCGCCACAAGTATTTCTTGTCCCGTACTCTAAACCTATTTCCTTCATGTACACATTTCTCTTTCTTGAGCCACAACACCCTCTTGTGCCATACTTGTTATTTAGCAAACCATAAACCTAATTTTGTTGGCGTAACAACATAATCGAAAACCTACTTGTGCCACAAGATCTATTCATGGGCCATACCCTTATTTTTTTGTTTCTTATTGCAACACCCATCCTAACCCTAGCCGAAACATCTAGTAAATACCCTTGGCACAAGTCTTTCATTCGTAATCCTATTGATTTAAACCAAAACAACACCCTCTTGCGCCATCTACCCTATATGCAACCCTAATTGGGCCAATCACAACCATCGTGAGCAACAACCTCGTGAGCAAAAAGTTTTCGTGAGCAATAGCTTTGTGAGCAACAATCTTCGTGAGCAGCAAACTTTCGTGACTATCATCACCTACTTGCGCCATTCTCGAAATTTTAGTGAGCATCTTGATCATCAAAGCTTTGGAGCAACATCACTAGATCTCACCATCACTTCTTGTGCCATTCACAAACCCTAGGTGAGCATCCTCATTTTTTTCCTCCAAAACCCTAATAAACGTTTTTAAATCCTAGTATCGTTTTTTTTGTTTTTTTCCAACCCTAGTTTTTTTTGGGAGCATAAGCAACTATTTCTTGGAGCATCATCATTCAACCTTGTTTCTTGTATGGATCATATCCAAAGTCTAGGTAAGCATCATATTTCTTATGTGAAACCCTGGTTTTCACAAGTTAGCTTGATGATCATTATTATATGTTGCATGTATATATATATATATATATATATATATATATATATATATATATATATATGTACATCATAGTCAACTTAACATTGATTATTGGATCATCATGTGTTCAGTGATTATCATCATGTGGTTCATCATCATTTTGTGTTGAGCATCACATTCCTTAATCACTCTAGGTAAGTTTTCATTCTCCCTATTTACCCTCTATGATTATCATAGTGTACACTTTCTAAAGTTATATTTCCTTTCTCAACATAACATATATTTGTATATCTCTAGTGTCATTGTCAAAAGTGTTGATTTATCTCTCTGTTGCTCATTGATTCAACAAGACATCAACCGGTAAGTAACATCTCTCATGTTTGTTCACACACCCTCATGTGATAAGGTTATCCATCCTTAGTTGATGACTCATGTCTATACATATGTTCCTATGATCAGGTACCCCTAGTATTAGCCTATCACCTTTTCTTAGTGAACACCTCTTGTTGTTGCAATCATATTAGGTGAGCATCAATTATTTTTTTATTAGTTTTTTTATTCATCATTGATTCACTTTTACATACCTTGCTTAGGTTATTTGGTGTTGATCCTTTGATCAAATCTCTCCTGTGAGCATTATACTTATTGGTGCATATCTTGCTTTTCATTCTCACAAGTCTTTTACCATCACTCTTATTCTTTATGGTAATGTCTCTTTTCTTATTCTTGTGTGATCTTAATTTTCATGCTCTTTACATGTTCTTTTAAGATCAATATTTTTTTTCTTTTTCAACTCTATCTAAGTCCGTTCACTTTTCTATCTGTTCTCGGATTTACATATATAGTTGTCACTTACTGTATCTATGATAGCTAATTTTCTGTTAGTTTCAAAAGACATCTTTATTTGATATGACATAGTCATCATAGGCCATAACTTAGTAGTTTTACTTGATCTTTTCACTTTTTCTATGATTTAGTAACAACAATTTTTTTTGTTTTATATGAAATTAAGTCCTTTCTTTTTTATTCCTACCTATTATTTCATTCACTTTCATGCCTACACCTAGTAAATTAGAATTTGCAGATTCCTCTTGTCTATAGTTGAATCAACAATACTACTCAAGTCACAACTTGCTTTAGTTAATGGAAATTTATACTTCTTTTTTAACACCCCCCACCCCTTATTCTTATTGGAATTTCGTTTAGATTATGTGTTACTACTCTCTAGCTATATCTCTTTAACTAAAAATTAATTCCAAATTTTGTTCTTCGTTTGTTCTCTCAAGACAACTCAAGACATGGCCTCCAAAGAAGGTGGATAGACTTCTAAAGCAAATGCTTCTCATAAGGCATCCAAATCTCAAGCAACTAGACCTTCCACTATGGAAAACTCATCATCACCTAAAATATCCATGGCTTAATCGAACTACGTTGCACTTATTAAAACTTAGGAAAAACCTACAGAAGTCGATGTTATAGTTGAATATTTGCAAAAGATCCAACTGGCATATGCACTCCTTACTACTTCTCCAACTCCACAATCTCTTGTTTCAGAAATCTTTCAATTTGCAGCCATCCCCCAAGATCAAAGTCAAAACAGCTTGATATTGAATTTTATCTTCTTTTTTTTTTTTAAAACTAACTTGGTTCTAACTAAAGAATAGTTCGCAGTTAGTTTAGGTCTAAGCGATGATTCTCTTCAACCTAAGACATTTGTCACACCGTAATATGCTCAATTGTTTACAATATTCAAGGAAATGGGGGTACAAATTTGAATAAAAATCTGAACCATTCCTTTCAAGAATTCAGATATCTTGACTTCCCAAACCATGGCACTTTCTCAGTTTCGTCCTCACTCAATGTCTTTCCAGATCAGTTGGTGGACGCAGTCACGGTAAAAAAAAAAAAAAACTTTAGATTGTCATGTATGGGCTTTTCTATGACATCAATGTTGACAATGTGTCTATTCTTTAGGAAGATTTACTTACCTTTCTCCCTACCTCAGAGAGTAATTTTCTGATTCATCATCCTTTCTGGTGGTCAATCATTATTCATGATGTCATCAATAATAGCAATCTTACACCAGACGGGATTCCAGAAGGCCCACAACCACATTTCTTTTATATGACACCATATAGGATTCATAGTGCATCTGAATCTGAGACTTCACATCCAGTCATTATTCCAGATGTGAAGTTGGATGAAAATAATGCCTCTCTACGCTCATATCAAAAATACATACAAGGAACTACTTCTCCTCCCAAAAAGAAGTAGATGAAAATAGCGCCTCGCTGCGCTCAACCGCCTCTTAACCCATCTCCATCTGTCTCTGATGGTAATCTTGAAGTAGATTTAGATTAGCCCACATCTCTTCCTAAATCTGGTAAAACCTCTAAGCCACTCTCTTTCTTTGATTCCTTGTTTCAGGCTCCATCTAATTATGACGAACCATCCTCCCCAGATCCAGTTTCACTAGCAGGCTTTTAGTTAGTTCTAAAAAGTCGAAGAAATCATGTCTCCTTGGACTGTGACTCACTTAAGGACGATGATCAACATGGTGAAAAGCAATCTAATCTTGAAGATCTCCTTAAGAGCTTTACAGTCCAAGATAATCAAAATGAGGATACTCTTATGCAAACAGTACACATACCTTCCAGTGAAGGACTGATAGTTGATGATGAACCAGACGACATGTCAATTTTCATAAATTCTAAACCATCTACTAGGACATTCAGCATTGATCTTGATGATTACTCACATTCTCATCAAAAAGAGACTCAAGAACATGATGATCCTCAAGAAGATAAGTTCTCTTCTTGTCCACCTGATGCTCCTCAAGATGATGGTACTCCAACAGATACAAATAAAGCTTATGTTGGATTAGGTGTCTAAGCTCATAACTATAATTGGTATGTACTTGACTCGAGAGTAGCATGGTCCATTTCGTGTTGCCTTCACCAGAATAATTTGATAGTATAGATAATTGAGAAAGAGGTTATTTGTGATTTATTAATATATTATACGAATAATATATTAATTGAGAAATCATATTATTTAATTGGTATTGATCAAGAATTAATTTGGAATTAATTTAGTGATCAAAAGACACTGATTAAATTAACGGGGATTGATTATATAAACCAGTGATACTTATAGTTTGGGCTAATGATCCATGTTGATTATGGTGGAATAAATCTTTGTGGAGTCCATGAAGATTTAGTCCAAAGGGATTATCATATGGATTATTGTATTAAAGGCCCAAGGAAGTGGATTAAGGTTTACAAGTTGAAACTCTAGGAATTCCAAACTATGAATTAAACCCCTAAGCTTGCAAAATTGGCCACTAGTACTCCAAGTTGAAAACCTAGCCGTTTTTTGTGCTCCTAGCCTCTATTTATCTCTCTCTCTCTCTCTCTCTCTCTCTCTCTCTCTCTCTCTCGTTATCCTCCATTTTGTGCATGGTGTTTGTGACTTGTTTGAGACATCACACATGAGGTGCTAAGTTCTTAAAAGGCCAAGAACTACAAGCTACAACTAAGAGGTAGTCTTCTAACAAGTTTTTATGCTTCAAATATCTATGTTGTATGCTAGTTATAGGATTTATTCTTTGGATAATTATTGTTGCATGTATAACTAGAAAAAACTTATATCCAAAGCATTTAGGTTTGTATGTGCACCGTAGGACTGTTATAGTACATAAAACCCATCTGTGGTATCAGAGCCATGAGTGTTTTTAGGTATATAGATGCAATTGTATTGTTTTCAAAGTTGAGAAAAATATGATTTTTGTTGTCTGACTGCAGAACTCGAAGATTTGACTCATATGATCATGAACTCGACGAGTCCATAGCTTGGTTCGATGAGTTGGATCATCAGTTGGCAGATTTTTTGAGTTTTTGGCCTGTTTTGGATTAGGATCATTACCATAAACTGTTTTGGATCATAAAATTCGATTTTACTAATATGTTAATGATTATTCCCATCCAATAACATGATGATTGTCAAATTTGAAATAATTACTTGATTTTATGAAAAAAAAACTAATTATTTGTAGAATTTGAAATTATCTTGCCATATGAGTGGAATTAGGTCAAATTAGTAAAAGATAAAATTATATGATTATTTTATTAGTTTTAAATTTGATCTAAATGTTTTTGAGAGGTTACAAAACTTGCCATCAAGTTTTGGAACTCAAAAGTTTTTTTAAGGAGTTACAAAACTTGTCATCAAGTTTGGAATTCAAAGTTTTTCAAGAGTTTCAAAATTTGTCCTCAAGTTTTGGAACTTAAAAAATCTCTTTCATGAAACATTAACTCTAGTAATTGAAAGGTTTCAAAAGGTGTAATTCTTGGTTTCATAACTTAAAAAAATTAATTAGCTAGTTTTAATTTTGAATTTTTGTATTTAGAACCTTTTGGCTTCATAACTTAAATTTAGAATTAAAAGTTTTTTTTTTTTAATTATGGCTTTGTTAATAGTTAATTAAAAGAGTATTAATAAATCTATAATTAAATGGTTTAAGTTTAATTAAATTAAGAGTCTACTTTATTTAAAAGATTAAACCTCTTAGTATTTTAAAGGTTTAAAATACACGCTTATATTATATAAAACTAAAAGTCTAATGTATTATATATGTATAAGTTTAAAAGTCAGACTTACTGTTAGTAGGCCTCATTTATGAAGCTGATCTATAAGGGGTGAAATTCCATATAAAATGACGATTGAATGGTTATCCACTCTTACCCACTACACTCTTAACTATTGGAGGGTCGTTAGCCGAACGGGTAGGATAGGACACAAACTTCCATTAAAAGTATAATGAATTATAAAGTAACTAAACCCTTATAAACTCCCAATCTTAGTTACTTAGGAAAAATGTGAATTTCATGCTAACCCATGAAATTGCACATTGCACCTTATTGGTCGTTAGTGGAGCGTGTGTGGTTAACTGACACACTAATATGGGACTAATAAAGGATGGAAATTTCACAACACTATTGAAGATCATCTATCTCCGATGCTTAAGAAGATAGATGAGTTTATTCAGTCCTTATCCAGTCTAGAATCTATCTATGAAGCCAAATTAGATCATTTGTAGAATCATGTCACTACTCAAGGCTGGTACATCTCCACTCTTGAGAAATCCATTGCAGAGCTATCTAAATCATTTGTATCATCCTCCACCTCTCCCTTTCAAGAATTCAGAGAGCAAGTTCAATGCCAATTGGATTCATTTTATCATACTTTGCAAATCTCTCAAAATCCAATTCCTAGAAAGACAATAACTCCTTAGGTGAAATATTTTCTCTACAGAAGATTGTTCAGTTGCTAGTAAATGAAGTTAAGGTTATCAAGACACAATCTTATTCTTCTGATATACATGAGCTTTAGAAAAAAGTTGCCTCGAATGATTCAAAACTAGACTTGATCTTGGCACAATTATTTGGTTCAAATGACAAGTGACCTAAACTAGAGGGGGAAAAGGTCAACAAGACCAGATCAAGTCAGTCTCCTGTCATACATCAAATTCTAGACTCACCAAATAAGTTTGAGAAAAGGAGAAAAGATAAATTAAATTTAATCAATAAAATGGGTGCTGATGGATGATTAAAATCTCAATAGAACAGAGCAAAGATGGCAGAAAAAGAAAAGGAACTCATTCGACAATAAGGGATAAATGATCCATCTCTAAAAGTTCCAAGAAGTAAAGATGTTTACATCACCAGACCTGTCACCATACCAGAACCAATTTCTCAAACAAAGCTTCCTCAAACTGATCCTAAGGATAGAGGAAAACAAAAGATTGTCTTCAAATCTATGAAGGAGTTCGCTAGGAGTTCGTTAAAGAAGCTCAAATGGAAATACATGAATAATTAGCTAAGAAACTTAAGGCTAAGGAGTTAAAGTCTAAACAAGAGGTGCTTCTTAAAAAGAAATATTCAGAAATCTTGCCTGAAGAAAGAAGTACATGGCATGATGAACAATTTAGAGCATCGTCTCCTAAAAGAACCATATTCTTGAATCCTGATAGAGGTGAAGATTGGACAGCTACTCAATCAGAAGATCAAGGCTATCAAGCCCACAAATTTGCTCACACCTCCTTCAGACCTCCCTAAAGAAAACTGGGATATTCCTGCACCACCGAATGGTATGAAGTTCAATTAATGGACAAGTGCAATTTATCCAGTTGAGCCTGATGTAGACATTGAAGGGGTGAAGAAAAGATTCTTCCTAAAGAAACCAATTCAAGTTGTCTTTGTATGGTCAAAGTTCAATATTGCTTCAATTAGAAAAATTGACATACGGGAATTTAGAAAGATGTCATATTCATTCTTTCAAGGAAAAAGGACAGAATACTCTGAATTTATGTTTCCTGAAGCTGATTTCCCTAGAATAAATCAAGATGATATCAGATCATTGATCATTTGATTTAAACAGAGGGAGATTATTGATAAAGATTATGCATATATCCTACAGCGCCTAAGGCAATATGTGCTCGACATGGTTATTGATTTCAGTGTTGACTGGGAAATTGGACAGCTATGAGAAAAGGAATATGAGAAACTAGATTTGGAACAAATATATATATATAAAAAATAAAAAAATAAAAATAAAAAAAAAAGAGTCACCTGGGAACATACTAAATAAACGACATAGAGGATTTGCATTCTCCTCTAAAGGTCGACTGATTTTTATGAGAATCTCTCAAAAACATATATTCTCTTCTGAATCCATTAAAGGCATCATTAGTTTATTGAAGAGAAAAGGATATCAAGATAATTCATTGCGAGTGAAGATCATTAAAGAGCTTACTTGGTTTTTAAGTTTTCAACAGTAGTTAATAAAATTGTGAAAAAAATATTCATCTCTTATATAAGTTCATGTGAAAGGTGATTTATTCATGTTTCTTAACAAGCAAGATTTGCATTCATCGTTTGATTTTAGGTCAAACGATTCTGACACTCCTTCCTTTTGAAGTTGGGCAATGTGTTTCTTGTTTATGTACCTAAGGTGACAATGCCTAAGCATGCCTTGTCTAAACTTTTAGAATAATTAATAATATAAACATTATTGACAAGTTTATTTACAAAAACAATAATTTCTTACACACCATCGCAAGGATAAGATTTAAAAATAGTTGAACCATTACGATAAATATAAATTATACCATCATTTTTATCAAACCCATAACAATATCCTTGTCTAAATAAAGCATGAAACATACTTATGTTCCTTGTCATTTCTGATAAATAGCAACAACAATTTAAATCAACCCTAACACTATCAAACATAAGCTCATAAATCATAATCCTGGTAACAACCAACTTTCGTCTATTCCACATGATCATGTTTAATTTCCCTTGCTCGACCTCTTCACTATCCTTTAATCCCTATAAATCAGAACCAATGTGGAAACCATATCCCATATCATGGAACCAATAATTTAAAATACATATGTTATTTATTTGGATAGAGTATGAACCATTTAAAGAAACAAACACCTTGGCCTTATCATCTCTCACTTCTTATAGGTACTTGGGGAAACTTCTTATCCAATGGCCTTTCTGTCTATAATGAAAGCACACAACTTCTTTCAGGTCTGCAACAAGAGGAGTATCAAAGTTAGGATTTCTCTTTAACCCATTAGACTCTCCGATATGGGATTTCCATTTCCACTTGGGTTGGAACTGATCCTTTCTCTTCTTAACTTTTCCTTGTTGGATAGCCATGACCAGGGAAGTTGTAACACTATTGGAATGAGACTTCTTCATTCCTGATTCAACTGTCTACAATAGATTGTAAAGTTCAATCAATAGGCTCTCTATATTGTTCAAATGATAGGTTAGAATGAGTTGATCATAACTATTAGGCAAGGAGTTGAGCACCATGTCAATGGCAAGCTCCTTGTCAAAGTTCACATTGATCTTTTCCAATATCTCCTCATGTCTCTACAAATTTTTACATATGAGCACACATAGATTCCCCCATCTTTAAACTTGCATGCCATGAGGGCCCTAATAACTTTATAACGCTCTTGTCTTGCTTTCTTGCAAAACATGTTGGAATATCCAAGTTCATGTCATAGGGCCAATAGCCCTCATAGGTCTTTTGTATCTCAGGTGGCATGGTTACAATCATAATGCAAGCACATACTCTTTATTCTCATATCTCATCACTAGCTGAGTACGAACAATGTTCTGTATCTCATTATTACCAGAGTATGTTTCTTAGGACAGGGATACAGTAAAGTATGTTTCTTTATGTGTTAGCATGTTATAGGATTGTATGTGTTTAGAGGGCGGGCCCCGGAGACAGGTGGGGCCTAAGAGAGACATATCTTTATACCGAGCGGGGCTCGATGCCAGGCGGGGCCTGATGTCGGGTGGGGCCCGATGCCGGAGTATTAAATTAATGGTTTGACAATTATGGTTTTAGTATGAAATTAAAAAGAAATTTTTTGGTTATGATTTTTGGGATGTTACACAGTTAAAACAAGTTAGTTGCTTTCTTATTTACAAAAAATAAGAAGTTGCCAATATGTGAACACGGATAAGAGGTAGTTACCCTCCTAAGTCATTTTCCCTTTGAGTTACCGGTTAAAACAGATATTACCCGGTAATATTGGTGTAATTTAAACAGTTAAAACAAGTTAATTGCTTTATTATGTACAAAAAAGAAGAAGTTGCTAATATGTGAACACGGATAAGTGATAGTTACCCTCTTAAGTCATTTTCCATAAAATTTCATAATAAGAGTCATGCTCTCTGATTTAAAGAGTTACATTGCAATTGCCTGTAAAATTCCCTAATACTAGAAAAAGTTTAATGTTTTAAACAGGTGGGCCATAAGAGCCATATATATATATATATATATATATATATATATATATATATATATATATATATATATATATATATATATATATATATATATATATATATATATATATATATATATATAGGTTCTGGTTAATTTGAGACCATTTTAATTTTGTGAGACCGTGAGACCAAATATAAAAATAATTTTAAAATTAGAACTTGAATTAACTAAAAAACCAAAAATTTTTGAAAAATACGTGAAATATTCTAATAGAATATTACACTAACATATTCTAAAAAATAATTTTAAAATGCAAAATAACTGGAAAAATCTAAAAATTTATTTTTTAAATATTATTTTCGGAACTTGAATTAACTAAAAAAATAAAAAAAATTACATTTTCTTTTTAAAAATACATGAAATATTCTAGTAGAATATTACACTGTACATATTCTAAAAAATAATTTTCAAATGCAAAATAAACGGAAAAATCCAAAAATTCTTTTTTTAAATATTATTTTTAGAACTTGAATTAACTAAAAAAAATTTAAAAAAAATGTGTCTCACGGTCTCACAAAATTAGGCCGTCTCACATGAACCTAACCCTATATATATATATATATATATATATATATATATATATATATATATATATATATATATATATATATATATATATATATATAGTTTATCTAGGGTGGGCCAAGGCTCGCTCTTGTATCAATGTACCTACTCCTCTGCTTGGGGACGTTGTGCGCATGGTCGGAGGCGTTGGGCTGGCTCCTCTCAAACATTTTCATGTGTTACGAATATATTAATCCACCTCCCACATTCTAGAAGCTGCCATGTGTCCACTATTTTTGGTTCCACATGGCGTCCGCTCATGGTGCCATGTCGCCTGGTCGGCGGATGAGTTCGACCCTCTTTGCTATGTGGCGCACTCTAGTGCCGCCATGTCACCCTCAGCGGGAATTTTTGTGAATCTTCAAACAACTATAACTTTCACATGTGAGCTTCGTTTTCGACATTCTTTATATCCTCGAAATCATCTCGATGAGGTATCAATGAATAGTTATCACTCTAACTAAAATTTATATTTAGACTAGTTTAGACTGTTGGAATTCTAGTAAAATTCATAACCGTTCACAGGGTTCTCTATATCGACGAGTTTGTATTTACGAGATCTTAAAATCTCGTTTGCAATATTTGGGATAAAAATCAACCAATATGAAACTCACATTTTAGGGCACACCTGTTTGTGTCGGACTGAATGCGAATTTTAAAAAAAAAAATCATAACTTTTTCATACATAGTCAGATTTATGCGTTCTTTATATCTACGAAAATCGTATTGAAGTCTACTACATGTTTATGGTGATTATTTTGGCTAAAAAGTAATATATTTATATTTTAAATTATGTAATAAATGTCATATATTACAATCTACAACAAAGGTAAAAATATGGTGTTACAAATAATAGGCACACACAAGTAATATAACAAACTACATGCCTAAGAAATAATTATAGCAAAACAACATCCTACAAAAAAAGGATACATATTGCAGTACAAAGTATAGTGAGAAAACTCACCTGAGCTTACCATCAGAATCTCAAGAGCAACCTCAGCAACAAAACATCTAACACAAGATACCTAATGCTAAATCAAGACTAGTTCTTAGCTAAAAACTAAATTCTACCAAGGTTTGACAAAAAGTCAAACTGGTCAAAAATTCAATGGTCAAAGTCAACTCAACGGACCACCATGTCGTGGCTGCCAAACGACAAAAAAATGTGAGACAGAGCACCACCACGTCATGAGCCTTCCATAACTACGTCGTGGTCTCTGGTAGAAAGTCCTTTTCTTCATTAAAAGTTCATCCTTAAAAACCAAGGCTTATAACATCAGATATGGCAACTAATAGATTCATAATGGATATGATTTCCAACTTTATCCATTAGGATGGTCCTAACATGCTAGATCAAGACTTTAAGTCTCAAAGGGACCAATAATGCATCTTTCTCAACTTAATCCATTAAGTTCAAATTTCTAACCGTCAGATCTGAATCAACATGACGTTTAGAGGGATAAAGTTTCCAACTTTATCCATAATAATTCTACCAACTTTCAAGATCTAAATTTTAATACTCCAAAATGACCTAAATGACCAAGATAACTTGCATGACTTAAAGGGAAGGTTATAGATCATAAATTTCCTAATCCATGAGGTCCAAGAAGCATTCCAAACTAATAAAACGATGTTAGAGCCCACTCAACTCCAAGATCACTCATAAAAT